GGACTATGCCATCTTTGGTGCCGGTTGTGCTACTTAATGGGGTCCTACTAAACTCAGAACTTCTGCTCAAAGAGTAAATAGTAGTTATGGCCAGAAGACATTTGAACAGCTGCACCTGTTCATAGATCAGGAGACTTTGCTCATGGTCATTCATGTCCTGTATCCTAGTAACCCCTCAATGGACTCATGTAATGTGTTCTACATGGAGCTGCCCTTAAAAGAGTATCTGGAAGTGTATGAATGTGTTATCATTTCTAGGACATTTTTTTCCCATGAGACAGATGTCTTGATTCCTAGCTCCAGCAAGCCATTAAAAACTGTTAAAAATAATGGTATTATTCTTATTAACAACAGCATTGGCAAGAAGAAGGCTCACTTGGGTGGAGCGAGGAGCCTATAATAGATGATGGAACTGAGAATTAAGTAAATTCTCTCTGGAATTATTAAAAGTTCCCACCCTTGAAAATAAACAATGGTCTTTCAATCACTCGTACAAGGAACACCATTTAAATCCAATATAATGTATTTGATTCAACATACTGCATTTGATTCATGATTCATTGATGGTATGAGGACTTCTGCTTTGGGTGGGTGGCATGGAGTAGAAGACTTCTAAGGTCCCTTCTAGTGCTATGATTCTATGATACTTGTCCACCAATTTCTTCCTGGAACAGCATGCATGTGTTGGGTATAGGTAATATTTGACTTATATCATAATTGAGCTCAGAATTATTGCCATAAGTCATGTTGGTCATTAAGCAGGCCATCATGTGACTGGCCTGATTTCACAACATTTTTTATGATAATCATTAAGAGAATCCATGGTTGTTAAGCAAACACTCCAGTCATTAAGCAAATTCATTGTCAACAATGGGTGTTGTTGGCTGGAAACCAGAAGTAAATGCTGGTTTCTCTCTGGCACAACAAGACCCAGACTTGAAGAGTTTAAACTAACTACCTTATTGTTCTATTGCCTATTTCACAGGAACCTTCCCAGACTGGCAGTTCATCCCTGAGAAGAACAAGATTCAGCAGGATTCAAAGGGGAGGGAGGGTATTGGACCTTGCTCTTTTGTTTCTATGTAACAATTCCAGACTAATCCCCTGTTTGACCCCTCCTCCTGACAGGGACAGTTTTTTCTCTGACAGTTTCTGTCAAAAAATAATAATAATAAATCACAGTTACGTGGCTGTGGGATGCTGCAAAGGACTATAAATATGGGTCGGATGCCAAGCACCCAAAAATGCAAATGTGGGCATGTGGGCTATCAGAACTTTGAATCTGGATTGTATCTATTTTTGGCTCCATCTTAACTTCAAGTTAGTCAAGACTACCTGCAGTATCCCACTAGACCACATGAAAAAATATTGATCCATCAAGCAAACAAATACATGCATATAGGCAACTAGCTTGTCAGGAAGATAGATAGATAGATAGATAGATAGATAGATAGATAGATAGATAGATAGATAGATAGATAGATAGACAGACAGAACTATAAAAAAGATGTTGAGACTCTAGAAAGAGTGCAGAGAAGACCAACCAGGATGATTAGGGGATTGAAGACTAAAACATACAGTGAACGGTTGCAGGAACTGGGCATGGCTAGTCTAGTGAAGAGAAAGACCAGGGGAGACATGATAGCAGTGTTCCAATATTTGAGGGGCTGCCACAGAGAGGAGGGTCAAGCTATTTTTCAAGGCACCCGAAGGCCAGACAAGGAATAATGGATGGAAACTGATCAAGGAGAGATTCAACCTAGAAATAAGGAGAAATTTTCTGACAGTGAGAACAATCAACCAATGGAACATCTTGTCTTCGGATGTTGTGGGAGCTTCATCACTGGAAGATTTTCAGAAGATATTGGACTGCCATTTGTCAAAAATGGTGTAGGGTCTCCTGTTTGGGTGGGGGGGTTGGACTAGATGACCTACAAGGTCCCTTCCAACTCTCTTAATCTGTTAAATCATGTAAACCATGAGTATCCAACCTTTTGGCTTCCCTGGGCCACATTGAATGAAGAGGAATTGTCTTGGGGTACGTATAATATATATTATATATATATATAAATCACATAGTGTTAAAAATTATGAACTTGTGAGGCCATATCTAGTGTCCAGGCCACATGGAGCCCATGGGTCATGGGTTGGACATGCCTGATCTAAACCTTTCCTCCTGATTTGCTGGTTTTTATTCCTCAGCATTTTATTTACAGACAAAAGGAAGCACTTTTTATGCTGTACAGAGCTAACTGGTAGAATTCATTGCAAGATACAGGGATAGTTAAGAAACTTGGATGGCTTTAAAAGGGGATTGGATAAATTCACAGAGGTCAGGTTTGTTAAGAGTTTACTAGACTTGTGACTCATGTGCCTCAATTCGAGATCAAAAACAGTTCTTCTGCTTGTGAACACTTGAGAGGTATCTAAGTGGCTGTTCTGAGAAACAAAATGGTACATTAAGATGGGCTTTGGCCTGATCCAGCAAGGCGAACCTCATGCTACCATGTTTTTTATGCTCTTATTTCCTGATATGAAAGCACATTCAATCAGGTGAGTCTTCAATTACACCTTCAAATGGTAGAGCCCAAGATATGAGTTGGTCTCTCCCGTAGTACTAGTCATATTCTTTCCCATTCTTTGCTTTGTGTCCCACACACAGCATGATTCCTGGTCTTGTGAATTTGCATGGATCAGTAGCACAAAAAGATTAAGAAAAAAAATATGTTCTTATGGGATCCCTTAATGCTCCTTTTGTTCAAAATCTACTCAATTACTTCTTTTGAACAGGGAATATGTCTGAGACTAGAATTCCCTTTTTTTAAAAAAAGTATATTACCTTTGTTATTCTAATAAGCTTCTTTGCCTTTTAAAAATGTATAAAATTCCCCCATCTCTAACTCAAACGGCTTAGGTTAATAAGTGAATGAAGCTTAAAGGAAGGAAAACAGGAATTTTCAATGTTGTTGAAAGAAGAAAGAGTGTCCTATAGGCTGAGTCATATTGATTCCCAAATATTGTCTCACATCATTGATGGACAGGTGATATCTCAAGCCCTGAAACCATTCAACCAAAGTCTAGCTACAAGGACACCAATTAAATTTTACAGAATTCTGAGTTCACAGTACCAGAACAAGTCTCATCTCATGTATAATCTGAAGATTCAGGGCTGCTGGCAGTCTGTGGATATGTCCCGCTGTCCCCAAGCCCTTACAAACATCACTCCCAAATAATATTAAATAATATTTAATTCCACCATTAGGGAATTAGCAATATTTGAGGAGTAACCACACAAGCTTTGTTTAATTATTTCTAATTTATTAAAATAAAATAGACTGCCCATGTGGCAATTCTTCAAAGCACAAGATTTGCTAAGATCAAAACCTACCTAAATCCACATCTCAGCCAATGTGTTTTTTTTTTTAACTCGGCCTAATCAGGTAGAGGGATAAGAATCACCAAGAAGATACTTATTTAATCATTAATTGGTCCCTTTTATTTTTTCTCCTTAGAAGTTGCTCCCTTGCCCTATAAATGCTCCTGTTGGATGAACGTGGTTTTTTTTTTCCTGTGGAAGTCAATGGAAGAAAGCAAAGACCAGGACATTGTGTGTTCTAGGAAATTGCTTTATAAATATAGGCAGTCCTTACTTAATGTCCCCAATTGGAACCAGCAACTCTGTCAGTAAGTGAAAAAGTTGTAAAGCAAAACATCATGTGAACTTCTGGCTTAGTGATGGTAGTTCCAGCAGTCTTGATTGTGGTCATTAACTAAATCACCTATGGTTCTTAAGTGAGACATCATGTGACTAACTTGTGACCTCTTGCTCCATTGACTTTGCTTATCAGAACCTGGCTAGGAAAGTCATAAACGACAATCAGATGACCTTGGCAGGTCATTATTCTTGCAAATATGTGATAATTGCCAAATGCTGGAATCATGATCACATAACTGCAAGGATTTTGCAATAGTCATAAGTGCAAGGATTGGTCACAAGCCACCTTTTTAAGCTAAATAAAAGGTTGTTAAGTGAAGACTGCCTATATAATCAAAGATAAGATGCCCTGTGTATAACTTGGCTAAGTTTTATTTAAAGAAGCCCATGATTTGTTTTATTTTAGCTGCATATGACCATTTCTAGGTCTTCTTTAGTGGGTGTGGTAATGCAGCATTTCCTAACCTCTTCAACTTTAAGATGTATGGACTTCAGCTCCCAGAATCTCCTATGGTGACTGGGGAATTCTGGGAACTGAAGTCCACATATTTGAGATTGAGAAATACTGCTTTAATTTAATTAATATAGTAAATTGATTCACAGGTTCTGAGAAAAGTATTTTTTAGAAACCCAACACTTTGGAAAAAGGTTTTGTATAACACCACAATATTTAAGTGTATATGTGCATAGATGCACACAGACATACAGAAACATTGCTAGTAAATGAATGTTAAAACAACTCCAGATTTATGCCATTTCTTTCCTGGAACAAAAAGACATATCTGCACTTCTCTTGGTGTTCTCTCCAGAGATTAGGACTGTCATTAATGACAGTTTTATTGATTTATTGTCTAAGAATGAAAGCTCAAGTAAAACACATCAGATGGAAAGAACATCTGGAAACCTCACCAGAGGTTCGGCTTTAGCACTTGGCTAGCGGATCCTATTTTAAGCCTTCCAAAAACAGGACTATGAAAGACAAAAGTGTTACTCCTGAGGGAATTTCACTAGTGTCAATTCTTACTGGCATGATACATCAATCAATCTTCCCCTTACACTGTGAAACTGGTGATAGCTAGATATGGAGTTCAAAGTTCTCAGAAGATAAATTTCAGCCATGTTCAAATTCCCCCCTAAAAAGGAATGGCCACTTCTTTGACATTTTGACAACTCGGCTGACAGATAACTGCTTTATTCCAGACTGCTAACTTCAATGCCTTCCTGGTTTAATGCAGCAGAGAAAATATAACTCAGTAACAGAGAGTTCTGGAATTAATTTACTTACAGTATACGTCTACCCTTATTGACTTGATTGCTGGTGAGCCCAAGCCGTTTTCAGCTTTGCAATAGTAACGCCCTCCTTGATGTCGCTGTATATTTGTGATCCTCAGGGTCTCATTAAAAACACTTGAGTCTTGAAACCGGTCAGAGGCACTTCCTGCTGTTTTTGTCCACCTGATCTGAGCAAGCATCAAAAAAGAGTGTTACTTTAGCTGGTCCTTCTCTCCTTTTTGTCACCAAGAAACATGCTACAGCAGCACACACAACATCACATTTGGGAGAACATCAAGTCTTCAAGTAGCAGACATGGAATTATTTTACTAAGATACAGAAAAAGAAAGCTACGTATGACTAACTCAATGTAATTCCATCAAATATGGGCTAATTATGCACAAATTTAGAGTTGATAGGGAATGAAAACTCAGCTTGTTTTCTAAGACGTCTAATATCATTGTTTTGTTATTTACCGTTTTGAATTTAACAGCAATACATGGTCTGAAAGCATGCAGCAGAACTAAGTTGTCTAGAATCAACATAACACTAATGAAATACATTTTTTATATACCAAATTTTATGGTATTTCCCTGTTCGGATAGAACTGAAGTGAGTCTTTCATTGAAAACAAAAATGTGCATTAGGAAAACAGGATCCAAACTTTTTCATTATAAATAAAATTGCAAATTTTTCTGCGGCTAAAAAAAATAACACATGTAAAATTGAATAGAAAAATACATAAATTTGGCAGGGTTCACATGGCAAGGACTTAAATTGGTCTGCTTATCAGCTCTATAGGCACAAAAGAGATTCCATACAGTATCTGTAAAACTTTGTGGTTTTGGCAATTATTGAATGCATGGGATTAGACTAGACTAGATTAGAATTCTTTATTGGCCAAGTGTGATTGGACACACAAGGAATTTGTCTTGGTGCATACGCTCTCGATGTACATAAAAGAAAAGATACATTCATCAAGAATCATAAGGTACGACACTTAAGGATAGTCATAGCGAAACAGTCAATATAAATCTTAAGGATATCAGCAACAAGGTTACAGTCATACAGTCATAAGTCATAAGTGGAAGGAGATGATGATAGGAACGATGAGAAGATTAATAGTAATGCAGACTTAGTAACTAGTTTGACAGTGTTGAGGGAATTATTTGTTTAGCAGAGTGATGGCATTCGGGAAAAAACTGTTCTTGTGTCTAGTTGTTCTGGTGTGCAGTGCTCTATAGCGTCATTTTGAGGGTAGGAGTTGAAACAGTTTATGTCCAGGATGCGAGGGGTTAGTTCTCAAAGTTTGCAATATCATAGTTTCCTAAAATGATAGATGAATTTGTGTGACTCCCCATTAAAGAATAAAACTAAATAATTAATAAACAACACAGGGATTAGAGTAAGATTTTGACAAAGAGCCAGACTCATACGCTTAACCATCTCTCAAAACTCACTCCAGGGTTTGTTCCCCATTTAGACTTATGTGATGTGAGCTTTAATTGCACCCCTACCTTGCGTTCAAAAAAACACATTGTCTTCTGAATTCTAAGATGCTCATGAAACCCTCACAATGATTGTAACCAGAGTTCTAACCCATCCTCAGTAATTGCAGTGCCTTCCAGGAAATGGAATCATCTTAAGCCTTTCCCTTTAAAAAGATGTCAGCTTTGCCACAATGTTTATGACCACAGGCAATCTAATAAAAATTACCATCATGAGAAACATTACATCAAATAGTTTGCATTATCTGTATCTTCACAGAGACTTGCACAAAGCAAAATTAGTCAAGGTAGGGTTGGTACACCCTATCTTGGTAACTCTCACTAAGAGAAACTTAGGGTCAAATTCTTAGCCCTTCCTAAAACAGATAGATGGGTTCTGCCAAATAATCCAGCATACATGTGACACAGCCAGTCTTAGAAGGGGGATTCCCCCCCCCACCCGCCCGCCAATATTTCAGATTGTCAGCATTTTCTATTATTAAACTTCTTGTCATAAGCAGTTTTAAATCATCTGAACAAGGAATGTCCTGTCGGATAAATGCTTAATACAATATCAGAAGGTTTGTGGGTTTTTTTCCCCCTCTGCTACTCAACTTCTGCTTTATGCATGTCCTACTAAATGCATGCATGGGAACTACAACTTGGAATAACCGCTGAGGTTTAGAGTTTACCAGTGAAGAATGGTGAAATGATTCAATAAGGTATTTCATTCGGGTTTTTAAAAATCCAATTTATAAAAGGAAACAGTGGGTGATTTACTTGGATTCTTACGTTTTGGATGACATAAAATGGAGTTTGTGCAGAAGAGATTGGTTCACTGGTACAGTGATTCTCCACCATCCATCACAAATGACCATCTGTGGAGGTCAGGAACCAGGCCTGATGAGTTTGGCCTACAGTGATCTAATTTGTAGCCTTCAAAATGCCGCTGGTGGATGATTATTATTCAGCAGATACCTTGGAGAGGTTTTGAGAGGCACAGCCAAAATTTTAGAGGAGTCACAAAGAGTTCTAGATACTGTTACCATTTCTCTTATAAAGCAGAGGTATCTTCACTTGTTTATGTTTTCCTCACTAAAAGTGCAAGGATTTGATTCATTTTATTCACATTATTTCATTATAAGCTATTTTATCAGCACTGCTCTGTAGTGACCTCATGGATAGACCTTCTCCAGGGTGTTCTATCACCAACCTGACCCCTCAGATTACCCACAGTCATAATCCGCTGTAATAATCTATCTGCTCGGCTGCTAGTTATCCTCTTGTCTTTCCTTCTATGTTTCCCAGCATCATAGACATCTCAAGAGAACTAGGTATTTGCAAAATATGTCTAAAATTATATAATTTGAGCCTAGTCATTTTGCCATTAGTGAGAAGTATAGAATTGGTTTGTCCTATCATCCAACTTTTTTTTTAAATTTTCCCAGCTACATATGGCATTCTTAGTAGTCTTCTTCAACAATTTAAATGCATCAATATGCTTTCTTTTCTTTTCTTTTTTTTAATTTATTAAATTTTCTAACATTTAAAACACAAAACACAAATTTATACTCATTACAGCTTTTCCATATTGGTAACACTATCCTTCGTACCAATCATATTTACATAAATTCTATTTCTATAAATGCATAAATATACTTTCTATCCAGTTTCTACAGATTCCAACTTCTTTCAAAGAGTGTCGAAGGAAAATAATTACCTATATGAGTTTGCAAATCAAAACATGTCATGATATCTGAATATCTTTTTAAAACTTTCATATTTATGATATCATGTGCTGGTCAGTGGCATGTATTTATTGAATGCTGCTTCTTTTCCTATGGATAGTCAGTCCTAAAAGGTAAAAGCTATTCACCAATAACTCCTTAGCAGTTCTAAAGCAGGTTCCTGTATCTGGAATGAATGAATATAAATCATAATTCTATGTTATCACCGTCCTTCTGCTTCTTCAGAGTTAACCTTTTGCTCTCACAGAGTCTAACAGGGAATGCCATTGCTTGCAATCTTCTGATCTTTGTAGGTAAGTCACATCATAATTGTCTGATTTCCCCCCCCCCTTCATGGCCTTCATGCCTGCTCTTCCAAGCACTAGTCTGTTGTTTATTTCTTGTCTGCTTGTCCCTCTAATGCTGATAGTTGACCATTTGAATATCTTCATTATCAGTTCTAAAGCTCTTTGTTCTATTTGTTGTCATTGGTTTGGTCTTCTTTTTTTTTTCATATATAAGTTTAGTACCATTTTTCCCACTATTCTTGTTGACTTTTATTAGCAGACCTTACATACCCTTTGCATTTTCAGCTGTTGGAGTAGTGTCATCAGCATGTCACTGGTTATTGACATTTCTTCCTCAGTTTTAGAACCACAATGTCTTATTCCAATCCAGATTCCCTTAATTCAACATATAGATAGTCCTTGACTTACAACCCATCAATTAATTAACAAGTGACAATGGACATCCTCAGAGCTATTTATGAACTGTTTTATGAGTTACAATGGTTGTAGACATGCACTGCCCTGTGGTTACATGATTAAATTTTGGGCATGTGGCAGTCCATTCACCTTCACTATTGCTTGCAGTGTTGTGACTTTTTTGCTGATTTATGATAAAAAAGGGGGGAGTGGATTTGATTAATGACTCTGGCATTCAGTTAATTACCGTGGTGCTAATTTAGCAACAATAGTAAAAAAAAAGGTTGTTTGCTTCAAATCTGGTTATGCGATATCATGACATTACTGCAACAATTTATGATCATAAGTTGTGCTTTCCTACTCATGAACACACACACACATGCACACATACCATGAGTACAAGGAGTCTTTATTAAGGCTTCCGAGCCTAAATTGGTATTCCCCAGCAATTCCCTGTGATGGCACCAGCCCAATGAGTTCCACAGGCTACTCATATGAAGCCAACACTAGGCAAAAGCAAATTCCCAAGGCAAATCCACAGGCAAAGACAAGACAAGGACAAAAGCTGAAGAGAGACACAATCCAAAGTTCAAAGCAAGAATACATTGTTCCCAGCATTGCCTCCAACTGTCTGTTGTGCTAAATAGCCACCTTCTGGTGCAGCCCTTCAAGAGGAGCGAGTCTACCTCCTCATGAGTAATCTGTCTGACCTTCACTGCTTCTGTCTTTTTTCTGCCCTACATGTTCTCGGATCAGGGGCAGAAGGCAGTTCCTGTTACGAGGGATGGTGGATCAGGCCCAATGAAGAGACTTGAGTCATCAAGTAAAATATATCTTTTTTATTTGCAGGTTCATCACATCATCGCTTGGATACATCAGGAACTGGGACATGGGGGAGTGTGCCCACCTTTTATACCTGTGGGCGGGGATTCAGGTAAGGAGGGGTCTATGGGAGGAGCTGACCAGGTGGGAGTCTGGGTTAACCCCTGCACTACTGCGCTATAGCTGATCCCTGGCACGGGCAGAGCATTTATGCCTGACAAATCCCCCTCTAAATGCCTGACCCGTGTCTGTAGGCCTGACTGACTAGTTGGTACCCTGGGGTGGATGTTGAGCTTGGAAACTAAGTGTGAGTGTTGCTTGCCCTGTAGGGGTTTCGTGAGTATGTCTGCGGTCTGTTCTTCTGTATCGCAGTGTATGGCCTTTATGAAACCAATTCTGGAGAGCTGTCTAACGTGCTTATACTTTATGTCTATGTGCCTTGACCTTT